ACGAAGGAAGTAAGCAATAATATCCATTAGACAAGAGAGAGATTTGTTAAACAATAAGCAGCTTTGATCAAAGACCGTGAATTAAGATAATTTATGGGCAAATATTCACAAAGACCTTTAGCCTGAAGAGAGAAGTCAATTCAATAATCCAGTCTCTACTTTGAATACTGTTTCGTCGGTTATCACAATTTAATGATCATGAGAGTTTATTATTTCCTTACGTCCTTGGAAACTTCATTAATTAACCCTTTAAGCCCCAACATCCACATGCAAATTCTCCAAACTGATCTCTATACATTTTCTTTAAAAATTAGTTGAGAGAATTTGATAAAAAATCAAGGCATTTTCTCTTTTGTGATCATTTTACTAATTCTCATAACTTTATCTCTTGACAATGTATGGACATCGTTAGGAGAAAATTGTTGTCGGTCACTATTGGGACTTAAAGGGTTAAAAGATCAGTAGATGCAACTAATCATGTTAATTTCGACTGATCACTTATAAATCATGATCCCCAATTATGCACATCGAGGAGGATCGGCCGCGGTTGATAACAGCCTCCAATCGACTCCCAGATCTGACTATTTCTTCAATCATAGGAAGGCTGAATTAATTTTACATCTAGTTTTGTTCTTCATTCAAAATATTTCTTAGTTCTTAACAACCTGACCTCCTCGTAGACTTTCCTCGAACGTTTACCTGTTTCGAGGCACGGTTGTATGATATAAACAGATGGTTTTTCTCGCAGATACTTCTTAAAGAGTAGATCACATTAATCGGGCATTTTTTATTTTTCATTTATTTATTTATTTATTGATATGCTTATTATGGCATTGTTTCCGTTCAATTTCAGTCATGTTGTTTAGTTAATTCACTCATGCGTAACGGCAGCGGATATTGCCTAGAAACGAGGCTGCTAGGCAATATACCATCGAATCGATAGTATATTGCTCGTATCCTCCAAACATGGTAAGCCACAGCTGCTTATTAATAAAGCCTGGGGGGGGGGGGGGGGACTAACAAAAACCCCATTTTTTCAACTTTTATAATAAATCAAAATTTTATCATCCATTTTTTTTTTGAATTTTCACACTATTCTATATTTTTTATAGACCCCGTTTGTTCAAAATTTTGGAGAGGTTTTAAACCCAGAAACAAATGATTATTAGCAACTTATTTTGATCTTTTTTATGATGTTGTATTTATGATGAGGAACGCTACCGAAAGATAGTATAAGGTAGCGAAAAAAAGAGAAAAAGAAAAAATTATCATTATTTTGAATTTTAATGTAAAGGAGCATCAGAAATAGAGAGTGAGTGGGTGGTGGGGGGGGGGGGGGGGGGGGGGGGGGGGGGATTGGAGCCAACCTCATATTTCGACTATATTAAATAATCAATAATTTTTATCTGACTTTGTGTTTTGAATTTCCACCAGAAGTGTATTATCTTCCAGGCCCTGTTTGTTCAAACGTTGGATAGTAGTATCGACCGGAAAGCATAAGTTCTAGGGAATCTTCTATACTACAAGAACCATTGATTTTGCGACTTTGTTGTATGTTAATTCTCAGTGAAGGTACATGTATCTAATTAATTGTGTAACTTTCAGTCTGTGCATTTTAGGGTCCTTCTAAAAAGTATTTCTGATTTCCTTTGTTTTGATCTTGTTTTGTTTTGCAAAAATTGGTAACGCATTTTTTTTATCTTTGCATGTCTTTAATGAAGGGACAAAAGCCATTCTACCGAAGTGTACTTGTTTCAGTCTCCCCTTCAGAACAGAAACAAATGCTAGGTAAGCGTCTGTTCCGCTTGATTCAAGCCACCCGCCCTCATCAGGCTGGTAAGATCACCGGTATGCTGCTGGAGATTGACAATACTGAGCTGCTGCACATGCTGGCCAGTTTCGTGAGGCCCTGGATGCCAAAACTAAGTTTGACAGAGTCACATTTATAGTTCCTTAATAGACTTATACATCGTTTTATCGTGTTTTTAGTTACACAGTTGTAGTTTTTTTTTATTCTTTTGACTTATTTTGCAGTTCTGTAGACGTGAGTAGATCGGTTTACGCTTACTGTCTAGGAAGGTCACCATCCCTATTCTTTAGTCAAATTCCCTGTTCTGTTACTAGGTTTAATCACGTAATTTTGTAGTTTTACATACTTAATTATCTTTTAGATATGCATAGGATTGGTATTTTCTTAGGTTTGTTTTTCCTGTGCGTAGTTTGCTATCGTGTTTTTATCGTTTCTCTTTTCAACACCTATTCTTTGCAAGTTAGGCGTCACTTGGGCGTTTATTTAATCCCTTCTAATCAGGATGTGATGTATCTGTTATGTGCTTTTGACTAATTTCCTGTCACATAAGTATCTGTTTGCTTGCGTATAAATACGAGTACTTTTGTCTAGTTACCTAGAGTTGGGTTAGCTCGGCTATTAAGCTTTGCTATTTAGCTGTGGAGCTTAACTCCCCAGAAGGTCTCGACCTCTGGTAAGTTTTGTGTAACATTTCCTTATTTCGTTGTTTCATTCCCGCGCTGTATTAATATATTTCATTTTTTTTCATTAGCTTTTACTTTGTTTTGTCGTTAGTTTTGTTTGTAATTATGTTTTCGTTTTTCTTTCGTAATAAACATTTCATTTAAGCCCACTCCTTGCATCCGAAGGATTCATGTCGTTGTGCCACTCCTCTTTGGCCTCCGGCCGTTGGCGGCGTTTACCCACTCGCGCCGCTCGGTTACATAAGGAAGCCGTGTCTGTTCTCAAGGCTCACAATGCTAGGGTGAACTCAATTTGAGTATTAATGGTGTGTAACTCTCAAGGTTCACTTTTACGGGACGAGCCAAACGTTCACGATAATTAATTTGAGCACAGAAGTATCAAACATGTGTTATTGAGGCAAAAAATGTAAAACAAGGATTCGCCTATTCTTTTGAAAGGTAATGACCTAAATTTTTTCCGACCTGGGACCTTTGATTCAGTATGGAAGGGGATGATGGAATACCCAACAAAAAATGCTTTAACCAGGATATTGCTTTCCTGTACAAACAGATTGAAGCTATAGGCTGACGTTATAGTTCATTCCCAAGACTGGCTTTCGCAGGTCAACTTTCAACAAGCAAAATAGATTGAAATCATTATTTTCTTTACTAATGTCAAAACAAGGAAAATAAACGTGAAACGTTATCTTCAGTATTAAAAAACCTAGTAATTAACTTCTCGAAATTGGAGCAATGGTTGAAAATAAAAAACTATAGAGTTATAGTTTAGATATTATAGCCTGTTACGAGCATAGCATGAGTGTAAACCTAGCATGCATAATAGAACGCCGAATAATTTGTCCTCTAGAAACTGACTGGAGAGCACCGTTTGTAATGCGTGGGATTGGACGATTTTGGATCGTAAGACAGGTTAATTCACTTCATAGCGGGTATGACCTTATTGGGAGTGGGCGGACCCATCTTAATGACTGGATATTAGGGGCCATGTGTAGCAGCTGCTCGAAAGAGAAGTCACCAATGGCGCGTTTCCATGACCCGCAAAAATACTAAACCAATTGGAAGAATGACATGTCATTGTTTCCTGCGACCAATTAGGGTGACATTAGGGTTAGGGTGCCAGCCGCTTACCGCATTTAGACCGTAGCACAAAATTTTTTTTGTAATTTTAGCTTACCTGAAAAAAGGTATACTTGCTAAAACTTAACCGACCTTTTACTGCTTTTTCCGTTCAAGGGCCAGTTCATCATTGAAACAATCAGCATTTTCTTAACAATTAGTTCATGCGTCAGCGTGCGTATGTCGAGATATTGTGCATACGGGAAGTTTGGAGAGCACGAAAGAGGCGTAAGAGTCGCTCGAGACGCAGCCTCTTGAGTTGGGAGACGTCTTGGGAGGATTGCTAAGCTCACAAGAACTCGAGGTATAATTTATTGACGTCATCAGCGTGCTCAATGGGAATATGAAGCACGCTCGCGCTATTGAATTTGATTAGGCGAATATTCTAGCCATGTTTTAATTCAATTTACCTGAACAACCGCTGTTCATTAGAACTGGTTATCGCCTCAAGGACGATCTATCTATTCCTGCCTCCAAAAACCGCTGACGTTTTGATATGTTTTTGCTATGCGAGGCTTTCGACATCGACGAGGACAACAACTTTACACGACTTACATGTGCTGTTACTAACTCTTTATTTTCCCTTTACAAAATGAAACCCCAGGAAGTTTTTAAAGCTACAGAGAATGCTCCATTCTTAATGATGGCTTAATTTTGTTTAAACTTGACGCCTCACTCCAAGGTCATGCTGAAAAGGAAATATAAAAGCAAAACCTGGTTAGCTATAGACTTTTGTGTCTTAGAAACTTGCAATCAGGGATCTAAAATATCATTCAGTGACTGATCATGTGCTCGCAAGATATCCTTAAATTAGTCTGTGTAAAAAAAATAAACCCTGTCTTTAAGTACCATTTGAGTAAAAACTATTTTCGAAAAGTTCTTTAAGTCGAAGTGTCATTGAAAATAAAGCAAAATCTTCTATAGTTGTAATATTCAAAACCCATCGACAAGACAATGACGGGTAACTTATGCACTTTTATTTTTCACATTCCAAAGAACATTTAATTTTACTTTTTAAACTTTTTTTCATTACCTGCGACAACAAGTTTCTGTATTGCTTGAATTTGCTCCTGATTCAAAGCTCGGTCGTAGATCCGCATCTGAGCAATTCTGCCTTTGAAGTAGTTGTCGCTATCACTCTTCGCACCCATTCTGATGCTATCCTGTGTGGCCAGTTCAAGGCCCGCTCCAATGTTTAACGTCTGAACCACAGCCCCATTGACCCACAGTTTGGCTTCGCCAGAAGAACGGTTGTAAGATGCTCCAACAAACTTCCATCCACCCGAGAGACTGGTGTGTATCAAATCGGTGGTAAACGAATAACCTCGTTTTGTGAAACGGACAAAGAGTTTTCCATTGAGTTGGGTGTCCACTTGTGGGGTCGAAGGTGATCAGGACATCAACTTGTCTCCAGGTAGAACCGGTAGTTTCATGTGGGAGCACAGCATAGTCATCGAATAACGCACATCCAAAGGTCCTCCAATCCTGTTGCGAAACTCGATGTAGCTGTTGGAGCTTCCGGAAAATTTATAAGAGTAGTTAGGTCTTCCATCGGGCCCTGGAGCAAGAGTAACCGCACCCAGAATCCCATTAACCGTTCGGTTGTTAATCTCCTTGGTACCGTACGCAGCATTGAGGGGGAAGAAGGCGACAGGATCTAGAACTTGATAAAAGAATATTTATTATTTTGAAGAAACTGAATTTTGAGGCAATGGATCAATGAGGAGGGATCGACGATGGGTATCAGTGCACAAATGAAAAAATAAGGTTTATGATGAGGGTACAACAGGATATCTTTGCTACTCCGTGTGTATCTTATGTTATTATATATTGCCTAATATTTACGCCTGTAGTTATGGATTTACATATTTTTTAATCACCAATTAAAAGAGCTACATGGCTCATAAACGTATGTTTACACTTTAACTCTTTCTCCCTTTTCTTATTGACTGAAGTTTATGCGGAAATTCAAACCAGGTTCGAAAAAAATGGCATAAATAAGGCTAGAATGTTAATCACTCAGCAGCCTAGCAATTATGTATATTTTAAAGAAGTGACGACATTCAAACCTGAACTGTTACCACCAACCAACCTTTTTCCCTTGTTTCTTCTCTCTTGGATTATTTTTTGGGTCCAGCGTGAAAGCTGTAATAGTTGTTTATGTTGCAAGAAAATTTCTTTGAAGGTAGGTTATTCTGGCTTTGTGTTGTCTCGGATTCTACCGTTTGAAGGAGCCACAGAAGGCAAAATAGCCAGCAAAAATCTTTCTGTATAATGTTTTGTACTGTTACACCTCTCTAAGTCGTGTTTGAAGGAAAATAGTGACGAGATATATAGCTAAGAACTGCCTTTATATTTAACTGTATCATAAAGTATTCCACCTATAAAACTTCAAGAAGCTTTCATCTTGAAGGGAGTAATTTTTGAAGGGGATAAGACGTGTCGTTGAATATTCGTGTAAAAGCCTTTTTACCTCTAATCAAAAGCTCTTTCTTTAACTGAATCGATTATGTCACATGTAGAGCGACTTGCACAAACCCCTAGATACTGAAGGGATTTTCATTGGACCGTTTTGACAGATTTTATGTGGCAAAACCAATTCAATTTCTACCATGCCAGTGAGAAAGGCATTTAGCTGGGAAACCCGTTAGTTTCATTAAGTTAGAGACAGTTGACTTCTGCCATAAGGGGCTCCCATTTATTAAATTGGGTGGCCTCGAAATAACATCGTGTGAGGTACTCAAGCGGTGCTTCCGCTGGAGGCCAGGCGAAACACATTTTACAACATTTACGAAAAATGGTTAGCTAATTTAATAATTAAAATTCTCAGACGACTTATAGAAGCGGGTGTGAATGGGGTTAGCCGACTTGCGACAAACGGCGAAACATATTACTGACTACCGACAAAACGAGAAAATAATTACCGACTAGGACAGGAAAAATATAAACCGACTATATACCGACATATAAGACCGACATTATTTGTACTTGTTTTCAGAAAGAAGAGCGTTTTGTATTTTTTCTAGCTTAAGACTCATCAGATGGTCCAACGGATAGATGTGTTGATAGATTTACATTGCTACAACCAATATCAAAATCACAGAAGTCAAACCTTAAAGATACCACCAACTTTGTAAATTTTATTGAAGAGACAAAGGTGAAAAACCGAACATTTTTTGTTTCAATGGACGTCACATTAGTTTTTTGGAGATAAAGGTATCGTCAACATATTTCCATAAGCGTGCATTTTCGACTACAAGGTCATTATAATCATAACTGAACTACCAATGCCCTAATTTGGTTCCCTGGGGGATGCCTGAGGGGACTGATCCCCAATCATATACACATCCCTCATCATTATTTCCCTAAGATCTATTTGACAGAAAGTCGATAATCCAATTAATTAAATTTAATTTACCTTTTTTCCCGTAGTTCATCATGTATTCGTGGAATTACGCCTTTTTTGCATGGGGGTGTTGCATGTTTTTTCTAAATACTGAGTGGAACCTTGATATAACGAAGGGCCAAGGGTCTGGCGAAATTTGTTCGCTATACTGACGACTTCGTTATATCGAGGTCCTTTTCATATATTTTACTATATAGCTAATAGCTGGTTAAAAAAGACCGTTCGTTATTTTACCGAGGACTTGATTACATAGAGGTTCGCTAAATCGAGGTTCAAGTGTAATAAGGCTGGTTTTCACTTGCGACGGAGTCGGAGACGTAAGCGGAGTCGGAAGAGAGCTTATGACCTTTAGTTAGTAATAAATCAAAAATCGGAGTCGTAAGCGGAGTCATAAGCACGACGGAATCGGAGTCAGAAGATCTCTGACGAATCGGAATGTTTCCATTTCTTCCGACTCCGTTTTACGACTTCGTCGCTTACGTTCCGCTTATGAACTAGTGAAAACCAGATTAACGGAGTCGGAAGCAGAAGCGGAAGGATAAACCAACAAACACAATGCACGTTTACACGCTTTGCGATTGGTTTAGTTCTTCCTCTTCTGCTTCCGACTGCGACAATCTGGTTTTTATTAGTAAGCGCAACGTAAGCGACAGAGTCGTAAGCGGAATGGGAACGCTGTTTTCACTAGATCATAAGTTCTTTTAAAACGCTTCTGATTACGACTCCGACTCTATGAAAACCAAATCTATTGTAAGATTTTGTGCTGATTTGTCCAAGATCTTCATATCCTATTTCAATCTAGCATTTCAACTATAACTCCATGATATCAATTTTCTGCCTATTTTTCCTTAACTCGGCAGTCGCCAGAATCTTGTAAGAGTTTAGCTTCATTTCTACAGTTGGTTAAATCAATGCACATTCGGTCAGTCCATCGTGTCCTACCATGGTGTAATCCTTCCTTCATTCATTTTTTTCGGCTTTTTGCTTTTTAAAATTCGCTGAGGGGGTGGTAGTTTGTATTCGAGGTGAAATATAAAAATTACGAGAAAGAGCTCCAGAAAACCCTTTAAAGAAGCGTAGTGACACAAGCATCCCAATATTGTCTAATACCACAAACATAACATGGATTCGAAGAATTGCCGATCTCATTCAGATTAGACAGATTAGCCACCATCTTAAATGATAAAACTACCTTCAATAGACTTGTTGTATTGCAGAAACGTATCATAAGAGTAATCACCAAGTCCTGTTTTGATGCCTCCTGAGTGTTCCATTATTCTATGAGCATAATTTTCTTAATTTAAGTAATATCTATATGCTACAGATCGGCTTGTTCATGTTTTTCTTTAAGAATAAGCTACTTCCAGTAGGCTTCCATGGTATGTTCTTGTCTAGTTCTCAACTTCATTCTTATAATACAAGAAATGCCATGAATTACAGATCTCAATTTTCTAGAACCAATTTTAGGAAATTTACCATAGCATATCAAGACCCAAATGTTTGGAATACCCTCCCTGCTGAATTCAAAGACGAATCCTCAAAAAATGTCTTTAGAATGAACTTACATAGATTTTTAGTTCAACAAGCTAATCTGTCCTAATTATTTCCCTATTGTTGATTAATAATTTCTTGTATAGCCTAGTTTTTCTTTTGTGTGTGTGTGTTATTTTTCTCTTTTCCTACTTAATTTTTAGACTATTAACTAGAATTTTTTTTTCTTGAAATATTAATTTGAATCATTAATTAGATAACCGAAATTAATTTGATATTGTTGATTGATAATTATACCTCTTAACCTCATTACTTAGGCTTAGCTTACTCTTGTCATTTAGGTATACTTAAATGACTCTGAATTTTGTTTGTAACTGGGTAGCCTGAATGTATAAGCCCAATGGCTTCCTATCCGGGCTGCCCTGCTACTTTTAGTGGCAATCTCATCACTAAATAATAATGCTGTACTCATCAGATCGTTGTAGAAATGTTTTTAAAAACCTTCCGTTAGTAGCTTATGGCCGTTGTAAAAATATTAGCGACATCCTCGTTAGAGCCCAGCTTACTAACAGCACCGACTGGCGACACCATATGCTTTTGATTTCTATTGAAAAACTTAAAAATGGGCGTAATTCATGAAAGCACGTGAAGCCCACCTTATCCATAAAGCTAAGACAATTGAGCCTCTGGACATCAATAAACGTGATGAACTGTAACTATATATAGTATATCTTTTATTTTTTTGTTATCTTGTCTTTTTAAGTAGCCACACCATACCACGTCATATTGTGTAATTTCCGGTCATTAATTTACTTCATATATATTTCGTGATATCTCAATAAACCTGATGAAGACTGGTTTTGGCCATTCGAAATATCGCAACTAAACTCTATTTCACGTTGTTTGATCAGTCCCTGCAAAAGTCTTCTTAACTGTGACGTTTTCAATTTGATCTATTTTTAATTGACTGGTCACGATCTTTTTGGATCCGACGTTGAGCAAGATTGATCGTACACGGTTTTTGGAGTGGTTTTCTTACCTTGATTCAACATACAATAAATAATAAATTATGTCACACGTCTCTGGATCGAGCTGCCCCATCTCTGCTGGTACTGCAGTAAACCCGGCGTATCTAATGGAGCGGTTCAGTAATCGAACATAATCAAACGTTTGATTACCGAACGATCAACGGTCGTACTCAATCAAAATAGCGATTACAGAACTCCTGTTTGTTTTTATTTTATGTTTAAATATTAAAACTGATAAAAAGCAAAGTAATGAAAAAAAAAAAAGCCTAAATATTACCCTATTATCAAACAAGTGTATATTTTGCGGACATTTTGTACGGTGACCCGTCCCCCTAATCCTCTTCGATCCTGTCACGTCACCCTTGGCTGCCCTTGAGGGCTTATAGTCAGGTGGCTAAAGGCTCAGATCTATACAGAGCGGACAAAAGCACCAAACTTTGCATGGTTGTAGCTTAGGGCATGTTAGTCAATATTAGGATCGGTGCCCACAACTACCTCTTCAGGATTTGCAGCAACTGCTCGCTGAAGTTCTTCAACAACCTTCCATGATGGGTGCCCTGTGCTGAAAATTGCAATCACTTGTTTTTTGCCATTTTGTGATGAAAATCACGTAAAAAGGGAAGTAGATGGAAAAAGAAACTGTATAAATACTATTATTATTGAAACCAATGATTAAAACAAGTCATCTTAATGATATAGCAATTATGATATACCATGGTGGGTATCCTGTGCTAATTTTTTATTTTGCCATTATTTTGATGAAAATCACATGAAAGACAAGAAAATAAAAGAAAATAAATTGTATTATTATTGAAACCAAAGACAAAAACAAGTCAACTAAATGGAAAATCCAAGGAAAATGTTTTCAGACGCGTACACAGTCTCAAATAGCCTTTCAAGATGGCGACTTGAAGGCGTCTTTTCATGGACTGTAAGTATCTGCTAGAATAAATTGCCGTTTTTTAGGAGAAATTGGGCACCATTTAAATCACGACAGGTTTAAGTGAAGTTTTAAGCTCTTCTTGGTGATAAATTTGTTATCGAAAGCCACATTTTCGCTTCATATTTTATGCCGATTGTGAATGACTATACTGAGTTTATTAACTTACTGGTAAGTTAAAGGTTTCTGAAGCTGAGATGTTTTCTACACACCAGGATGGATATTAACTGGGATCGTTGTTATATTTGCCAAGAATCAACAAAAGAAGATTTGAGAAGCCCACTAGTTTGACGGTACAAGCATTAATTTATAGAACGCTCCTTGAAAATGTACCAAAAAGGCTGACGTGCGAAATAGGCATACATGTCAGAGGAACGCAAGAAGAAAAGTGGAGCAGCTTGGAAGGCCGAGGAAGACGAGAAATTAAATAAATCAAGAGCATTTGTTGAACTCACTAAGTACATAGCAAATGAAGTGGAGAATGATACACATTTCTTTATACTTGCTGAACTTCATATTAAGCTGTATTCGTTCGAAACAAAGGCACACACTTTGCAGTCCCACTATAGTGTCAGTCTTACAAGCTCGTTTGGTGCCACCATCTCCAACTTGCTGTTTCTGATCTGCTTCAATATTCTTTTTTCTCTTTTCTAGTTTGCTTTTTCTAACTTGGGCTTAAGGTGACAGGATTGATGCCACTTTGCACTTCAGTAACGTGTTTACTACTGTAGTGATTTCAATATGAAACTTAATTGCAACAAGACGGCACAGTCCTCCTTCTTGAAAACTAGA